CTAAATACGCATAATGTCCATTATCAGATTGAAGGGACAGTTCACCTAAAACTGTGCATCAGTCACTATTTGTTAACAGAAAAACTGAACTGCGCCCTGACCTGGGGTTTATGTCATCAAGAGACAAAAGTCTGAGAATGCTCCCTTTGTAGCAGTCACATCATAGCACTTGCACTCCTGAGCCTCTCCTAAGTAGTGTGAAGAGCTGTGAACCACTAAATGTAGCTCACCTGACATCACTGAGGTCTGTTACGTTGTTCTTCTGAAGAATCTCCTTCCCTGTGTCGACCATCCGCATTACTGGGTGTGACAACAAGAACAAACACACAATTTTTGCCATATTAAATAAGGCAACTGTATTTTATTCAGTTGCCTAATACCAGCAATGAGCAGTCAGTGAAAGTGAAGTAGGCAGCAGTTAATATGCAGTAGTCTTTTGAACGTGTAACCATTTCCACAAGCCTCAGTAATAAGGTGTGTGGTTAAAACCTTACCCAAAGGCACATGCTCTTTGCTGAGTGATTTACAGTTCCCTACATGTTTGTTTGGGACGACCAGGTAATGGTGAGGAGCTGCGGGTTTGATGTCTCTGAAACATGATATCTCCTCATCCTGCAGTGGAGGAAAATGAGCAAGACAGCAAATACAAATTAATACATCACCTTCCAGGACCTGAGGGTAGAAGAGTTTCGCCTATAGTATTTACCTAAGTGCAACCTAGTTAAATCAACATTTTAGTCACCTAACTGCAGGCTCTCCTCAGCTCTGTATCATTTCTCTACTATAAACTGGAACAGCCTGTGAGTATGTGTTTCAGGGAGACCCGTAAAGTGAATTTATTTAGAGTACTATGTGTGAAAAGGTTTGGAAAATATGTTTTTTTTTTTGCCTGCACAAAACCTGAGGCACACCCTGCAACGCAACACAACACATCATCATAAAACTACAAACCTTAATAAGAGTAAATTCTACTGAATATAAATTACTAAACAGTTAACATACATAGTCTAAAAGAAAATTAAACATTAAATGTAGCTACATATTTATAAATCCTTTTCATTACGGAGCTAATTACAGCTTACAAAAGCAACAGGCTAAAGCTAACTAGCTCGACGCCCAATATTATTTAATTACTGCAATATCCTCACACAGTGAAGGAGCTCCGTGCCCATTTCATTGTTTATAATCTTGCAGAAAATACATTTCTTCTCGTATCCTTCGGCTGGCCCGTTGCTAGTTTTGGGAACATCACCCAGGGCAGGGTTTGTCGACTCAGGTTGTGTCGCCTCGGCTGCTGCCATTGTTGTTGTTGTACATTGATATGTCAAAATTAAGACCCGCGTAGTCGATCCCAGAGTTCATCGAGCTCTCAAGGGGAAACGGAAAGATTGTCGAGTTTAGAGTGTCAGTGTGAAGGAAGGAAACTGCCACCAGGAAGCGATGTGATTCAATATATGATATTTGGTAACTATTCTATGTCCCTTTTCTTTTAATAGATTTAGTTGATAAAAGTGATTTATGAATCAGCAGGTGCCCTAATTATTTTGTACAGTAAGTTCTTATAATTTGTCTTTAGCAATAATTTAATTCAGAATTGGGTCATATTTTAGCCTAGTGGTGGTTGCTGATTTTGTGGGTATATGACTGTTGCCTTACAGCAAATAAGGACCCACATTTGAACTTTACCTAACTCCAATAGAGACTTTTGGACTTCTTAAGCAAACATAGCCGCTCCTGTAACTGTCTGGTCATTCTAAAAAGGGGAAACTGAGGATTCATTTTTAAGACTACGTCTACCTTAAAAGCAGACACATGAAGAACAGTGGCCACAAAGATTCTAAGGTCTGAAGCATACAGCATTAACAATGGAAATATAAAATAAGCTAAATAAAGTAAGCTAATAAGTCTTTTTTTTTTTTTGGTCTGATGAAAAAAATCAATTAATCGACTCAATTAATAGCCTCTTTACACTGGCTCCCAGTATATTTAAGAATTGATTTTAAGATTGTAGTGATTACTTTTGAGGTTTGAGGTACACACAATGAGGGACTTTTGAGGCCCTCGGGCAAGAGGGGTTTTTTCTGTTCCAGAGGCCCGGCTGAAACTAAAGTAGACAGAGCGTTTGCTGTCAGGACCCCAAGGCTCTGGAACAATCTACCCAAGGAAATCTGGTTGGCAGAGTCAGTGATCTCTTTTAAATCCCTTCTTAAAACATGCTTTTATTGGAGAGCTTTTTCTGATTTACTTGAGTTTTAAGTTCACTTAAACTGTCTTTTACTTCCTCCATTTTTATTTACCAAAGTGTTTTCATCAGCTCTTTTAAAAGCTGTCATGTCTTTTCTGTTTTAATTATTGACATGTAAAGCACTTTGTAAAAAGCGCTTTACAAATAAAGATTATTAGTATTATTATATTATCATTAGAAATGTATTGTTTAATATAATGTTATTTTTTACATTGTAATGCTTTTGGCCTTTCTGTGAACTTACAGGGCCTGTGGGTGGCATGTTCTTCCTGTGTCCATGAACAGGGTATGATACAGTCCCTACATGCATTTGCAAAGCCCCCTCCTACCTGCCAGAGCACCCACGCCACTGTCTTTCACTGTGGTTTTGCTGTTTTTTTTCCCATGTTGACCTACTTTGCAGGTTAACCTCTACTCTCAAAAGATCCATTGCGTAAAAACATTTTGCTCCTACTGGAAATTAAAAGAGACGTGTCTTAATCCTTTCTAATTTGTTTTAAGTGGGACTATTCAGCTGTCAGACATATATTTAATTTGCTTTATTCGCTTTACATATTTGAATGTGGTCTTTTTGTGGCCTACATATGCCCACAAAAATTAACATCTTATCAGAATTTATATCAGCAGAACAAGATCTAAAAAGCATGATCAGGGTTTCTACCTTTGACTGACCCCTCTCACCTTAAACTGAGGCTCTTGCTTGAAGCCCTGAGATGCAGTCAGTGTTAAGGAATATCTAGTTACGTGTAATTGGATTACAAAATAAATATAAGTGGATCAGTCACAGTGACTAAGAAAAAATATGTAATTAAATTACAGGTACTGATCAAAATGTTGGTAATGACAAAGAGCTTACATCTGAATATATTCTTTTTGGTAAAAAAAAAATTGTATGTGTAGAATATAACCTTCAGGCGGCATGGAGGTGTGGTGGTTGGCACTGTTGCCTCACAGCAAGAGCGTTCCTGGTTTGATCCCAGGTGTGGGAGCCCTTCTGTGCGGAGTTTGCATGTTCTCCCTGTGTCAGCATAGGTTTTCTCCGAGTACTCCAGCTTCCTCCCACAGTCCAAAGACATGCAGGTTAATTGGTGACTCCAAATTGAGAGTAAGGTGTGAATGTGAGCATGAATGGTTGTTTGTCTCTAAGTGTTAGCCCTGCCATAGTCTGGCAACCTGTTCAGGGTGTACCCTGCCTCTCGCCCAATGTCAGCTGGGATAGGCTCCAGCCCCCGGTGACTCTCAAGAGGATAAGCAGTTACAAAAATGGATGGATGGATGTAACATTCAATCTGTTGCTTTGCATTTAGATCTAACTATATATATATATATATATATATAGTTAATAAAATATCTTCAGTAATTTGACAGCATTTCAAAATAAAACACTGCAAATAGATAACCACAACCAAATACAAAAACCCACTGTGAGTAGCACATATGTCAGCGTAAACTATTTCCAGGGGACACTTAAAAGCGAGGCACACAGCAGGTACAAGCTAGTCTTGTCACGATACCAAAATCTTTGTTTCGGTACCAATACCAATATGAATTTCGATACTTTTCGATACTCTTCGGTACTTTTCCTAAGGAAAAGTCCTTTTGGATACAAACCTTTAGAACAATAAATAGTGGGGGTGTAACGGTACCAAAAAAATCATGGTTCGGTAAGTACCTCGGTACGGACGTCACGGCTTGGTAACTCAAATGTTCCACCAAGTTTGTGTTGTCTCGTGTTGTCTCCCTTTGCGAGGCAGACTTTCTCTTGTCTTTTTTCACGTGCGCCAGCTGTGAATGTTGATACAGGTGTTGTCATACACACCACTTGCGCAATCTGTGCTCCAATAGGAACAAGAAAGGCATTTGTGTGCATAATTGAGTAAAATAAATTAACTAAATTAATGAATTCAATCAGTTTCAAAGTACCGGTATTTTCCAAATGCAGTATAGTACTGTTTGGAATACTCTAGTACCGCGGTACTATTTTAGTACCGGTATACCGTGCAACACTAGTACAAGCTATGGCGCCATGGTTTGTGTCACTGTGATCGAATGATTCAGACTGATTGCAGAATATTTGCAGATATCTGCATATTAACCTTGTGCTGACATTATGCTTAGCATTAGCCTGCCAATTCAAATAGTGTGATGAAATACACACTTTTAGTTTCCCCTGAAAAGTTTCCATTGTGGTGTGTATAACTTTGTCTTTTTGCGTGTGTTTTCTTAATTTGCTGTGTCTTAACTGGCAGCCTCTTCAGAGTGTACTCTGCCTCTCACTCAGTGCATGCTGTTATGGATGAATTACCTTTTTGTTTTTAATTGCTTTGTCTCAATATCTTTACTCAGGTTGTTAAGTGCTGAGAACTGAGTGCAGGTCATTGTACAGGGTAATTTCCATGTATGGTTTCCCATAAGCTTGCAAATGCAAACATCACTGCCTTTGATGAATGAAGAGGCCATTTTCCGTTGCCTGAAGTTCCTATTGTCTGGGAGTCTGCAAGTTCACAGTATTGTCATATCTTCTACTTACATCTACTTCTGCTCTACTGTTTCCTCTTTTTGTGGTACTATTTAAGAGGAAAGTGTATTTTGTGGTTGTTCTATTTATCCTAATATTTGCATGTGTCTTTGTTATTTCTGTACCTAAACCTCAGATACAGCAGCATCAGCTAGTGATTATAGTCACATAAATATGACAATTTGAATATAGTCTGTTTGTAGGATGAAAAAACAGCTTCCTCAGTGGAAAAGGTGATGTTGTTTTAAGGGTTTATTCATAAGAAAATATGAATGCTTTGAAAACATTGTCTTTCACCAGGAAAGACAAAGTTTTAATGTGGTATCACAAAACAACATTAGCAGTGCAGACTCTGATGTACACACAAACATAAAGAAATATGAAACCGGAACAACAAGAATTTTTGCTTTGCGTTTCTGTTTAGATTTTCTTTAAAATACATTTATAAATAGATAGTAAAAATACGTAAAATAATCTTGTCAATACATGTAAATATTGTCTGTAAATGCAAATAAGCAGGCAGGTGTCTCACTTTCCAAAAAACAGAAGTGAAAGATAACAGTTGAGGTCTCTTCCTCCACAAACCACATACATCACAGGCAATACATAATTTATAGTGCAACCCAATACTTTTATTTCTCATCCTGAGTGGTTAGGTCTTCATCTGCAGCAGTAGTTTTCAAATGGACGACATTAAAACAAGACCTCACGTTAAGTAAGTACAATTAGAATCCAGATAAGCCATTGCAGGTCCTATCATGTTACAGTGTTTTTATCATAAAGTAATCATTTAACTTTCTCTTTTTCTCTCTTTTAAAGTTTCATATGGCCCTTTATGCACCAAGTATGTTTCATAAACCTTGGGACCATAATAGCAAATAAAACATATGCACACTTACACACACACACACACACACACAGATACATACTGTAAACGCACATTTTAAAATGCCCCAAACATGGCTGTTACACAGAAAATAGAAAAAACATTTTCCTTAAATCCTGAATGTGCTTACAGTCGTCACAATCTCTTTATTCAACAGTGTAACTGTGAACTTTGTATTATAATGCTCCCCACAACGAAGGGAGGGCATGGAGGGTTTAAAGCATCAGATGCCAGTTACTGACTGGACTTAGATTGGGGCCACTGATGCATAACCAGTAGTTTAAAGCAGCAGGACCCTCAATCGCAGGATTTCATCTGGCACCTTGTCTTTATCAGGCACAGATCAAACCAGTCCAGCCTGAGATCCACCACAACAGGCCTCTACTACTGTATGTGGGCCGATCTGAGCCAGGTGCACAGATGATAGCAGCTGCTCTATCAGGTCTTGTACAGTAGTGGCTCGAACCACAGGTGCTCCCTGAAGTCTGGAAGTTTTGTCCAGACAGGACAGTGGGTTCTGCTTTGTTTTTAGCTCATGTTTTCAAATGTTCTCTCTTCAGTTCATCACAGTCCAGACTTCAAGGTCTTGTACAATGAAGTCTTCCTGTGTGGAGAGAGACGCGTTGCGGAAGGTGGGACATGAGAAGCTTGAGCCGCGGTACAGATCAGCATCCAGCCACAGCCCAAATCCACCCCTAAAGGCGAAGAAAAAGATAACACTTTAATGTCAAATCTTTTCAAAGTTGTTAATGTTTTATGCTCTCAGACACCAGGTGCTGTAACCTCAGATGTCTCACAGGTAGCAGCTATTGTAACTATTTTATGGACCTGCTTTTTATGATTTTATGACACTGACAGACTGAACTGTTGCCTCTCCCTTGGGTGTCTACATTTGACAGGCGGAAAAAAACACACAACTTACCCTCCTCCACCAATGTGCAGAGATTCCAAGTTGCCGCTCACCAGGTAGGAGTTCTCACCGCTCCACCTGTATGCCTGGGAGAAGAAGAAAGACGTAAGACACTTACTCAAACCCAATGCACAACAACGTTCTTTTTTTATCCTTTCCTAAAAGTATTACTTTCTTGAGACTGTGTTTAGTTCCAAATATAGAGAATTGCTCTTAAATGGTTACAAACTTAACACCATACACCAGTTCTCAGACTTGCTGTTAGATGTGATTTTTTTAACCACACTGCAGGAAACTCCCCTCTTACCTGGAACTCAGGGTTAAAGCTGAACAGAAAGGTTTCTCCTGTGCCGTAGCAGTGTTTGCTGACTTTGAAGGGATCAGAAGAAAAAGCCCCAAACACCTGAAAAGACCAAATATCAGGTTATTAAAGGAGCAGCTACAGACACACTGTTAATCAGGGCGTCAGCTTGAATACTACTGAACAACTTTGGAGAGTTAAGATAATAAGATGCAAACCTTTTTGTGCATGTCTTTGATGACCAGCAGCACAGGGCTGTCCAGCTCGGCCATGTTCCTGTACAGAGTCCGCAGGCTGCTCCCATGGACGGCTGTGCTGTAGACCAGTTGCCATGGACAGCCGTGAGTCCTGGCTGGCATGTGAGCAGCAAGCTGTTGGAAAGGGAGGTGTTGATGAAAAGATGCCATACTGGATGGTATGAAAATAATTATCACAAACAGAGTTCATTCATTCATTTATTTAATCATTCATTCATTTAAAATCTTTTGTTGCTGGCTGTAATCATCCACTTGGATTGTCTCAAAATGCTGCTGTTTTTAACTTACTGTCTCCAGTTGGTGGTCATCCAGCAGCTGGCTGTGTTGGCTCAGGACGGGAAGAGCATCAACTTCCTCGTGGTAATCATGCTCTGCTTCAGAGCCCTCCGAGCTACACAGACTCAGGCGGCGCTTGGAGTCCTTCACTTTGATAATCTGGAGGACACAAGGGAGAACAAAATGAGAATTTCCTTATTACATACAGAAACTTGTGGTTGAGTGACTCATTCACAGACGGCTCACAGGTGCAATGTGAAGGATAAACATATCATTGCTTACAGTGTTTACAGAGCTTACAGTTAACACCAAGGTGTTAATTTTATGGGATACGCAGGGGACACACATGAAGCAGGAATTATTTTCTCCTGCTCAGTGTATTATGTTTCGCACTACCACCACACTATTAGGAAAGGTCCAAAAAATTCCCAGAACGCAGGAAATTTAGTGTGTGATGCTCAAAATTTTCTGGCAGAGGACCCCCCCAAAACCTATGTCCCTGGTTAACACAGCTTCCTCACTAGTGAATATGGACAGTGACAAAACATTTTACCCCAAAAGTAAATGATATTTTACTCCATAAACGCAGTACATCTTCTAACAAGATAAGAAGCAGCATAGCAGTCCTACCTCAACATACGGCTCTGCACAGTCACTGGCAAAATAAAGCACCTTGATATTTTCTGGCAGCAGCTTCATCGTTCCTGCTTTCTCTGTCAAGCTCTGTACTCTGGAGTGCCACATGTCTAATAAACAACCTGACGAGCATCCATCTCTTTTGTACCCTCTTTGGTCTGCTTTCACTTTGTGTGTCAGTAATGCTATTGGTTTGAAATTTAAGTGGAGGGGCTTCTCATTGGTCAGCTCTGAGATGGAGCAGTTTCTTTTCTCTCTAACCGGAAAGTGAAGCACAGTTCTGAGGCAATGGGAGGGAGCTCCAGATAGGATGTCCATATATAGAGCCTGGTATTTCCCACAACTTCTGGGATAACTGCCAAGCACTTTGGAGCCTCACTTACAGTAAATCTGGGATACTTGATGATTTTCGTGAGACAGTTTACAAAAGTAAAAACAAATGTTTGAGCTGTAGAACATTTATTGTCTTGCCCTGATGTTAACCTGCAGTGAGAGAGCCACAGAGGGCTTTTGACTTATCTTTAATCATATGTGTGTGTCCGTTCAGACCTTACCTCCCAGTTTTTAGCAGTGGGTTTGACGGAGTTACTGAGGATCTTGTTGATCACAGCCACCTTGTTCTTTTCCACTACCAGACAGCGTTTTAGTTGTTTCTCCCTGATGATATAGCGGGGCTGGCGGTGCTTCTTGCTGCCCTTAGTGTAGATGTCTGGTGACCACTGCACAAAGAAGGTGTAGAGGTGGTCGACCCTGGAGAAGCAAAAGGAGAAAGTGCATTTTTTACTAATAGATTATCATTTTATATTGTTCCTAAAAAGATAATGTGTTTACTCAAGTGGTTTGCTATAGCTAAAATGTTTTAGCAAATACCAAGGGGCTTCTATCATCAGACACCACTATATGGAGTTACAATGTCATAATATTATCAGAAAATACAATAAAAACATTCAACTTAAGCAGCATATCATTTTAATTGCAGTACAGCAAACAAATCTTGGACTTTCCAGTGCATGTAATGTTGCTGGAACTTTCAAGTATTAATGGCAGTTGGCCCAACCTCTATTTCCCATGAGAGAGAAAACATATTGTTGCAAATGTCACTGGCAAACCTCTATTATCTGTCGAATCCTGTCTGGACATGAATAGCAGGAAAGTGAAGCATGCTTTGAATGTTTGAGGCATTAATCATGCCAGGCTGAGGATATTCGAGAAGATAAGTGAAAATTGGGAAGCGCTTTTTCCAAAAGAGAACAACTTCTGGGCAGTTTAGGGCTGAAATCCTAGAAGTCCATTTCCCATGGACAAAAGCAGTTCCAGTATGCAGTAATTTAAAACAACCTACTTCAACTGTAGAGCTGTTTAACCTCAATCATGCCTCTCTCTGTAGCACACTATCGCTCTCTCTTCCAGTGTCACACACAAAGACTCACACACACGCATGTCTAACTCATCAGACTGTCAACCACAATGCAACATGTTTTTCTACCATAGCATGACGAAAACCACTCCCCCTTGCCTCCTTTGCACCTACTGTATGTAATCATAAACAGCATCAAGAACACTAATCACCATGACTGTGAAAGGATTCAGATCCCATGCACGATTTGACCTCAAATAAATGTAGAAGATTGCATTTGAAATCTCAAAATGCAACAGTCTTTGCAAGCTCACATTGTCTTACTTAAATTTGTTGAATCAAGCAAACCAAAGTACAGTCCAATTCAACTCCAGGTAATGCCCCCATGTTCAGGAACCCGCATGACAATGTTCACAGCTCTCCGGATTATTCGTTTTACTTACTCTCCAACGCTGTAGGCAACTCCCATGGCTGATTGAAGGTGATGGTAAACTGTGACGAGAAGTAGAGAGTAGACAGTTTAAAGGCTCAGTGTTGCAGTAGAATGTCCATTGTGAGCCTCGGCCATCGGCAGCATTTTATACCAGCGGATCAATCGCTGAGATCAGCCCCTTGGACCGTAAACCCTCCCTTTCTTCCCTGATAGCTTAACACGGCCAGCACGTACTTAGCATTTCACAACTGTACCTGAAAGCCAAACCTGGTGACATATTAACTCGACCTACTCAAGGTCCCTGTCCTTAAATCTGGCTGGAGTTCAGACAGTTACTGTGTCAAGGTAGTGTCTCAGTGTGAATGAGGTGGATTGTCACAAAGATAAAGGCCTGTATGTCAATTTTAATTGTGCCTTGCATTTCTGATGTCTTCCTGGATGTCTGGCCTTTCTTCCCATCTCATCAAAGGTGAAGATTAAACTAATTACATTCCAAAGTCAATTCTGAGGTACTTGTACTTTTCTTGGGTATCTCCATTTTCAGCTACTCCACTATATTTTAGGGGGGGAAACTGCACTTTTTAACTGTATTAAATTCATCTTACAGTTAATGATAACTTTCTAGGTTAGGATTTTAAAGAATCTAGGCTATAATAAGCAAATAAAATAGAATGCATTATTATAGAGTTAATGAAAGTAACAGTATAAAGTAGTTTCATGAGTTCCACCTCAATACAAAGAACATTAAAATTCTGCTAAGACGTAAATGCACCAGTAAAAATATTCAAATAATATATAATAATATGACAGTGATGCCTGTCTGAATAATGAGCATTTTTAATCAATCAATCAATTTTATTTATAAAGCCCAATATCACAAATCACAATTTGCCTCACACTCCTAACTACATGTTAATAATACACAGGATTTACAGGTATCTAGCTGTGAGACTGCATAACTGAAACGTCTCCTGTGTGCCAAGCATGTAGGACATCGACGGGGGTCAACTCAAAGACACAAAAATGTGAATGGCCCTATATAGAGCCAGTATTTGATCTGGCCATTCTGGGCTACTGTAGAACAACATGGCGGACTCCATGGAAGAGGACCCGCTCCATATGTAGATATAACTGCTCATTCTAAGGTAACAAAAACTATTATGTGTCGTATACCATTTCTGTCAACAGATGCCCCTAAATCCTATGCACTGGACCTTTAAGGGAATAGTTTGCATGTCAAATTGTGAGCTTTAGAAGTACCGGTAGATGCCTACCTTTGGACAGAGCCAGGCGAGTTGTTTTCTGCTATTGCCAGGCTTTGAGCTAAGCAAACTGGTTGTTTGCTGTACCCTCCTATTAATAGTACAAACAGGAGGAGGGTATTGATTATCTCTCCTCTAGCTCTTGGGAAGAAAGTGGCTATGCATAATTCCCCAAATATCAAACTATTCCCTTAAGTATGAATTTGAATGCAAGACATGTCATTGTAATTGAGTATTTCACACTTCTTTCACCACTGTATCCCATTACGTTCATCTCTCTCACCTTCGTTTTTTACTTGTCCTCTTGCAGCCTGTTTTTTAGTCACTCCGCCTGTTTCCTTTGGTTTTCATTGAACAGAAAAGGGGAAGTGAGTAACGGTTGGTTTGGCCAGTGTAGAATATCAGCTCATGGGCCATGTAAGGGAATGGTTGTGGTTTGTACTGATGACATACTCAGAGCATGCTGTCACTAGATTTTAAAGTTTTGGAAATTATGCAACATAAAGAATTTATGATGATGATGATGATGATGTGTTTGATGTGTGTGTGTGTGTGTGTGTGCGCGCGCGCACGTGCGTTTAGCTTGTTGGCTATTTTCCATGGGTTTGAGTGTAACTATCTTCCTGCTGCTATCATTTGAGGCCTTTATCCTAACAGTCTCCACTGTATCAGGATTATTCAAAGTATCAAGCCTTCAAATCAAGATTTAATCAAAGCAGCAATCCTTGATTGCAGTGCTGACCATTCCTAAATGATCAGTGTTCAGTACAATCCATTGAAACTTGATCAAGTTCTAGTCAGTAATCATTATCAGTGATCAAACAGAATGACAGAGTTGTCTGTTTCTTTTATCTGTGGCCATTAGGCTTAACTGGGTCAACACAAATAAACTCAATGGGCCACATCATCTGAACATGCTGAGCTGTTGACACAGTAATCCTATTTGTGAGAGCTGCTTTGTGGGTGTTATTTCCAATTATCTTCACTTTTATGGCAAGACAGGTGAAAACAGGTTTTTTTGTGCTCTTGTCAATTTTGAGACTTTGGGCTATGTTGCTTCCATGTCTCCCTCAGACTAGTGAAAAGAAAACATCCAAAATACACATTCAGGTGTTTTTTTAGTTCTGGAAATGTACTTTCAAAGTGCATATTTAATTAGATAGTGCCATATTTGTATATTTAAATATAACATTTCAGAAAACTTGTAAAAAATAATTGTCTAATCCACTGGGGGAGTTTAACGGTGATATCTGTGAGTTGACATCTTTACTCTAGTGTCTTATTTTTTGTCTAAAAAAGTATTGAATTGTACAATACATATCTTTAAAGGTTGTTTTCTCAAAATGAGTGTTTTGTCATACTGTGGGCCAAAAATCTCAACTTCAGTAGCATTTACTTTATTTATGATATATAGCCTGATTTATATAACATTTTATTTCTAAAAACACAACAAAAATTGATTTTTTTTTATGGCTGTTGACAGTATTTCCTGATTTAAGGAGTGATTAAAGGAGATATCCAAAGTTCCCCCTGCAAAACCCTTCAACAATCCATATGTCAACAAAAGTATTTTCAACCTGGTTTTAGCCGTGTTTGGATTTTTCTTCTGGAAATGTATGCAAATCAGTGCATATTTAATCGATGATTATAAATAATGCATCGTTTGCATATTTACACATAAAATATAAAAAAAATAATAATGTAATGTAATGTAAAAAAAATAACTGTTTACAGCAAGAAATCATCCGGGGAAGTTTCATGGTGATATCTCTTAGTTATATCTCCCCTTAAAACTAGATGTTTTACAGTCTTCAATGTAAAAATTGCATTCTGTTAACTGAAGATATAAACAGTAAAAGGACAAGTACAATATATTCTTCAGAGTTTCATGAGGTACAATGACAGAGCTGTATTTTGCCAAATTACAAAATGAGTGGCTCCAGTGCTCAAACGCAGGTTTGCTCATGTTCAAATATCAGGTCAGGAGATTACACTGGGGACACTCTGGGGTCAACAATCAGCCACGATGCTCTTACACAAGAAAAGTGAAGGAGAGATCAATTTGAGACAATGTCCTTTCTGACACACAGACGAGATCAATAAGTAAACACACAGACACACAGATATACACCCTTTAAAAGACAGATACAGCAATGCATATGTGCAAACACTCACAGACATACATGTGCCCACCCTCACATACGCACGCCTGATGCATGCATACATGTCTGTGTAGTACATGTGCACACGTGTATGCACAACTCCCCACTGTTGCTGAATGGTCCTGCAAGTCTGTGCAAAAGAATTACAGCTCAGATTTATATTCTTATTATCATTATGTAATTTATGATGTTGAGCACCTTGGGCTTTGTCTTTTTAAAATGACACATTAATAACGGTGAATAACACCAGCATGCACGTGAATAACGAAACGCTTACACGAGAAGGTTTTAGCATTGTGAGCTACAGTTGCT